CCTCTAAGGTTCCCTTCTAAGCTATCCAGGTCCTTTTAGCCATGATCCTACAATCTACCCCATAAAAGCCAAGTGCCGTTAGCTCAGAAGTCTTTTGCTTCACTGACTGTCACTGTGTAATCATATTGAGCTTTGTGGTCCACTAAAACCTGCAGGTTCTTTCCACAAAGGGTTTAGCTACACCTCCCCCAATCTTGTTTTTGTGAAGGGGATTTTTTTAAAAAGCCAAACATAGACTTTTATATCTGTCGCTATTAAATTTCATCTTATTAGATTCAGCCCATCTTTCATTTGGGGTTTGTCATTTGGTCTTTCCTGAGTGGCATCATATTTTTTATTCTTAAAGTGATAGGAAGGCTGTATGTGTTCATCTGTTTTCGTGACTTTGTCTCCTCTTTCCCTTGGTAGGGAAAATGAAAAGAATCAGTCATAGGAGTATGCACAGAACACTTAAGGGCGCTATACAATCAGAACTCTTCAGGAGTAGTTATAAGAAACCTTGGAACACATGGACCCATGAGTTTGACCTAGCAGTCTCAGCCGTCAAATCGGGGGAAGGGTATTCCGGGGTGTTAGAAGCAAGGCTGTGTTGAAGCCGGCTCCAACTGGTGAGCAAACTGTCCGATGTTCACTATGAACAATTACATCTCAGAAATCAGCAAAAATGCTACAAACCAAGGGTTGATTTATTGTTGTTTATCTAGATTTAAGAAAGTGATGGAGAAAATGTAACAATGAGGATTAAACTTTCTCTGGGAGCCACAGCCCTGGTTCAAAGGTGCCACTCTGCAGTAATCCCTGAAGATCCTGCCTTAGAGAGACCCAAGAGGGCAGAGCTCAGGCTGGAAAACTTTAGTGAAAGTTGAAATATAAAGTTCTAAATGCTTTTGACTGGCTTCGGGTTCTGCCTCCCCATCCCCCACCCCCACCCCCTTCAAGGAATGCTCCAAGGCTCAGCTAGGCTCAGCTCAAATGCCACCATCTCCAGCAGGAAGGCTTTCCTAGTGCCCCCTAGCTACTAGTACCTCCCCCACCCCCATCTCCAGGTTATCTTGTATCTCTCCCATACATGGCTTGTGGGTACTTATTCCTTGAAGTCATGGTCCTCTTCAAGAACTGCAGACAAACAACAGCAATCTATATATGTGTAGTCTCCTACACGTATACAGGCAGCTAGCTAAGTGTTGTAGTGGATAGGATGAGACATCCTCCCGAGTTCAAATCCAGTTTCAGACACTTACGAGCTGTGTGACCCTGGGCAAATCACTTAACCCTGTTTGCCTCAGTTTCCTCATCTGTAAAATGAGCTGGAGAAGGAAATGGCAAACGTCTCCTTGCCAAGAAAACCCCAAATGGGGGAGGAAGAGTCAGTCAGGAAGGAACAGTGACTCCTCCCCTAACACCTTTAGAATATAATCTCCTAGAGGGCAGAGGTTTTCACTTTTGTCTTTGTATTCTAAGCATTTAAAAGCAGTTCCTGGAACAAAGTAAAGGACAGCAGCAGCATTTACATAGAGCTTTAAGGTCATGAAAGCACTTTACAGACATAAAACCTTGGGAGGCAGGAACTATTATTATACCCATTTTATAGATGAGGAAACTGACAGATCTTAAGTGAGTTACCCAGGGTCACATAGCTAGAAGGGTCTGAGGCAGGATTTGAATTCAGGTCTTCTTGAACCTAAACCCAGCATTCGATCTACTGAGACACCTAGTTGCTTAAACATTTAATAAATACTTGGTGATTGACTAGGTATTTTCCCTTCATCAATACCTTATTACCTTTCCCTGGTGTATTCCTTCTGAATTTGTATATTATTTCTTCCATCGTAAATAAACTCTGGCCAACTCGATCTAGGGATCTGAAGGATAGACCCGGCGGGACAAAAAAGGAAACAGATTCCATCTAGGACACCTAGCCTGGATATAGGTGACAGAAGAAGGGTAAGGTAATTAGAAAAAGGGTGTGGCAGATCTCTGAGCTTTAGGAACTAAGCAAGCTCCAAAACTCTAGGAAAGGAGGCTAGAGATGGGATCAGTGAGCAGAAAATGTTTGGAAAGTGAAAGCCCTGAGTCCCAAAGGAAGATCCCTAGGATGACTGATGGGGTATGAGCCCTGGAGTTCAGGGGAAGTGGGGGGAGGTGTTTCCCAGGGCCCCTACCCTATCAACACTCCAGGGAGATGCTGACCTCCCCAATAAAGTGATCAGATCAGCCAGTGCTGCCTAAGGCTCTCCCATGATGGATCTAACAGCAGGACCCCAAAGAGTGTATCAGCTGAAGGACAGGGAGTTTAGAAAAGTCGAGATGGCTGTTAGCTTTCCCAGCTTTGTGTCAGACCCATGAACCAAAACACATTTATTAAACGTCTCATAAATACCAGGCACTATGCCAGGTTCTGGGGGACACAAATTCAAAAGTGTCTGTTCCTGTCCTCAAAGAGCTTACTATTTCTATAAACATGAGTTTATACAAAATAAATCCAAGAGAATTTAGGAAAGGGGAGTAAGAAGGGGACAAGGGGGGGGGGAGACGAGGAGGAGAGAGGAGTGGAGGGGAAGAGGAAGAGAAAGGGGGGAGGGGAAAGAGGGGAAGAAGGGAATGAGGAAGGGGAGAAAAGGGAAAAGAAAGAGGAGGAAGGGGAAGGGGAGAGAAGAAGGGATAAGGAAGGTTTTCACTTTAGCAGAGGTGAGGAGGAAATGCATTCCAGACATGGGAGGCAGCCTGTACAAAGACTTCATGGGAGTTAGGAGATGGAAAGTTGTGTGTGAGGACGAATAAAAGTAACCAATTCCACCATCAGAGATTTCTGCCTTTGGAATGAGGGTGCTGGATAGGAGGTGAAAGGGAGGTACCAAAAGGTGAGGTGAAAAAGAGGACAAAATTCTGCCTCACAATTTTACAAGACTCATTCCAGAGCAAACATTTCCACTTTCCTTTGCTGACTGGCACTGGACACCTTCTCTGGGCCAGCCCTCCATGATTCACCAGATTTCTTCACACACACACAACCTCTTTCCCCCCTTACTACCACCACCACCACCCCAAGTATATTATTTCCTGGTAGTCTCTCCCACCCCAGGAAACAAAGGTCTCATACACCCTGGCCAGTCAGGGATCAGCCCACTCTCAGCCTTCCCACAACCCCTAGAAAATGGCCATGTAGCTGGGGAGCCTGACTCCTCCCCCCACACTATGGGATAGAGGAGATGAGGCTGAGCAGGGAAAGAAAGAGGAAAAATCCCCCCCTCCATTTCCATTCAACAGGAAGAGCTCCCTGAGCACTCTTCTTTGTGGAGGAAAGGGTGGGCTGGACTTGGAAAGAATGAACCCCAGAAAGACTTAATGAGGCCCGACTGGGAAGGGGAAGAAACTCAGGAACAGCCTTGCCCTCTGGGCCTGGGGCTAACAAGAGGGGGATTTATTTCACTCAGCTAAAAGCCCGAGTGCGGGGGCTGGTTTTTCCCAGACACATTTTCCAAGACACTTGGCTTACAGCCAAAGCCTACCCTGGCTGGATCTGAATGAATGGTCCCCCTCTCCTCTCCACAAATTGAGCCCCCCATTTCTAGGCATGATGAGACTTTCTTTAGAAGAAATTGGGCCCCCAATGTTTCTGCATTCCCCTCCCCCCACCTACAGAAAGCTTTGACCCTAACACAATAGCAACAGGTCTTTACAAGCCCAACCACGGTCCCAAGCACCTAGTCTGAGGGACTTCGCGTCCAAGTGGCCCTCTGGGCCAAGAGCCCAGCAGATCTGGGGCTAGGTTTCCCTTAGGGCTCAGCCCGGTCTCTGAGGTTGAGAGGAATAGTCCAAGGGAGAAGAGTGGCCCACTGATGACTGAGAGTGGGACTTAATTAGGTTTGGTGGCAGGTTCAGCGGGAGGTCCCAATCTTCACTCCTTCCCACACCAAAGCCTCACTCCCAATTTCCCTCAAAGGCATAATTTAGATCAAAGAGCCAGAGCTGAGACTCTGAAGATCATCCAGTCCAATCCCCCATTTTACAGAGGAAGAAACTGAGGCGGGGAAGAGTTAACAAGCTTAACCAAAACAGTCAGTCTGAATTTGAACCCAGCTACTGGACCTCGAAATGGAGGGCTCTTTTTCCTGCTTCTCAAGATCCATAAAGTACCTCCAGGTCTGACATTCCATGGAGAACTTAAATGTCGTTCAAGTCCCAACTCTCCTTCTCTCGGCTCAGCCCGACACACTCCCAGATCCCGCCCCATTATATTCCCTCCTCCCCCGTAAAATAATGGCCTCAAGACTGAACATTCCCTTCCAGCTCTGACTTTCTATGAATAACAAGTTAATCTTCCATCTCGCTCAAGGACCCTCCTCCCAGACCACCCCCAATCTTATTCCTGGACCCCCCCTCCTCCTAGACCACCCTGAATCTCACTCCCGGACCTCCCCCCCTTCCTCCCAGACCACTCCAAGACTCTCCTTCTCCCGAACCACCCCCAATCCCACTACCAGAGCAGCCCCAACAGCCAAATCCCACCATAGCGGTGTATGGGGTTGTCAGAGAGGAAAACACCCTCTCTGTTCTGTAACCCGAGAACCAGCCACCCCTCCTCCAATCCCTGTCCTGCCTCTCAACCCCTCAACCCAAATACCAGGGTGTAGGGGGGCCGGGTGCGGAAAGAACTCCCTCCTCCCGCCCCAAAGCTATTCGGGGCCTCACCCCACCCCCGGGCGGAGAGCGCACGGTCTTCATTCACCCTGTAACACGAGAACCTGCAGCAGGCAGCTCAGGGCACCAGCTCACCCAGGGTAAACAAGGAGTCTATGTCGAGCGAGGAAGCCGGAGCCCGGCCGGCAGGAGTCAGGGGACTCCAAGAAGGGACCTGGGATCAAGGGAAGGGGCACCGGGCAGGGAGCTGTTGTCGCGCAAAAACCAGGCGTTGGACACAGAGTAAAGGAACTGGGCAGAGAAGAAAGGAGCCCAGGACTGGGGATGAGGCTGGGAAAGAACAGAAGAAAGTCACTTACACAGCTGACCAGGGAACAGACCCCCAAACAGGCGCCCATGGTGGCGGCTTCAAACTCAGCTTTCCGGGCGGACTCTGGGCCGTGCGCTCTTTCTGCGCCCGCCGGGCGCGCAGCGCCACAGTCCCCGGCGCCGCTCCGCGAAGAATCCCGCCCTCCCCCGCCGCCCTACCTGCGGAGCCTTCTGGGCTCCTCCTCCGCAAGTTCCGCGGTCCGCCCTCCCACGCCCCCTCCCACGATCGGCCCTTTCCGGTGAAGCCTCGGAGGCGCTCGAGAGCCGGGCACTCCGGAGCTCACCTGCCAATAGGTGGGAGGCTCCTCCAACCCCAGGTCGGGCCAGGCGGAGATTGGGAAAAGGAGCGGGGTATTTGAGGGTTCTTAGTCTCTAAGGGAGCGGTCCCTGAGCTAGTTTTGCCACACTGAGTAGTCCTCTCTTTCCTAATATTCCAAGAGCACTTAGCCTGGCGCTCATCTCCTTTGACCCCATCACTACCTATCTAATACTACACAATTACATGTATTTACATATCTACCCCCTCTTCTCCCAAGGAGCAACTGTGGCGTCAAAGGAAAGTAAGCTCCCTGAGGACCCGGATCAAGCCCTTTGTCTGGTCTTTTGAATCCTCAGTACCAATCACTGGGCGCTTAAGGAACGTGGGTTTTTAAGTGACAGGAAATAAATTGTCTAGGAGTCCAGCCTCTGCCACTGATGAACCAGGTTCCCCTTGGCAAATCTCTTTCGCCTCTCTGGGCTCTAGCTTTCCTTTCGGTAAAATGAGAGGGCTTGGACTAGAATGACATCTAGAATCTCATCCAACTCTGACATTCTGTGTTCTGTGCCCAGTGCTGCGCAACAGGAGAGAGACACAGAGAGACAGGGATAGATAGACTGACAGAGAGTGGCACGAGAGTGGGGGAGAGAGATTTGCTGATTTGACCCACTGCCTCCACATCCCCCAGATTCCGAAGCTCTTCCTTGATCAGAAAGCAGAGAGGAGGAACAGAAATGCCACTTTTTCTTTCACCTCCCTTCTCCCCAGGATCTCACAGATCTCAAAGTGGAGGTAGTGGGGTGGGTGGGAGGGAGGAGAATCTTCCTAATGTCTAACCTAGCAGCTTCTGGCTGTTATGAAAGCCAGCAGAGGTGGTGGGAGGGGAGTGGGCACCTGCCAGGTAATCAGAAGAGCCTGGCTCCAGTCACCACCCTGTCACTAAATAAATGTGCAGAGTGGACGAGCAAGTCACTTCCCCTTTCTGAGCTTCGATTTCCTCACGCATAAAATGGCGTTAATAATCTTTATCCCTGTCTGCCTTCCACGGTTGTTAGAAGGATTGAATGAGATAATGAATGTACAGCTAAACATCTAGTGCTATATTAAGGTTAAGACGTCATTATCACTCTGAGAACGCCGGAGCTGCAAAGGACTTCAGACATCATTTAAAGCAACCCCCTCATTTTGTAAAGGAGAAAACTGAGAACCGGAGAGGGGAAGTAATTTGCCCAAGGTCACACAGGAAATATGTAGCAGAGGCAAGACTCAACTCCAAGTCTTCTTACTTCAGGGCTTTTCCTGGAGGTGGGAGCGCTAGTAACTAGTCACTTCCTCTTTAGTGTCTTATAAATGCATTTTCTGGACTGAGAGCTTTCCAAGAAAGACAAGCATGTCCTAGACTCCCTAATAGACTATGAGCTCCTTGAGGGTAGGAACTGGGTCTTACCCATCTCCTTCTCCCCTCAGCAATCCTACCTGGGGTGGGTTCTTAATAAATGTTTATCATCTGTGTGAATGAAAAGTATCAGCTGCTTCATAACTTGAATAATAATAATAATAGTTATTATAAGTATTTAAACTAGTATTAGTAGTACTTACATGGGTTTTAAGATTTGCAAAGTGCTTTACATATATTTACATATGTATTATCTCATTTGATCTACATAGAATGGCTAGCAAGTGAGACATACACTTGACATACCAGCTGTCAATTAACGCAAGATTTTTTTTTACGATTTTCATTTGCAATAATTTTCATCCTATCTCAATTTCTTTTTTTTTTACCTTAGAGATTAAAAAATTGCATGGCATCAATTGACAAAGCCTGGCCCTTCAAGGTATTCTTAAATACCAGAACTTCTAGCTTAAACTGACAGAGATGGTAAGGAATAGAAAACAGTCAATGTTGGAGGGGCTGTGGGAAGCCAGGCACATTAAGGCATTGTTGGTGAAGCTATCCAGCCATCTAGGATAACAATTTGAAATCTGTTTTTTTGGGAGGGGGGAGTTTTCACTTAACTATTCATACCCTTTGACCCAGACATCTCACTGCTGACCAGCTATGTCAAAGACACCACTGACAAAAAGAAGGGTCTGATATGTAATATAATATTCATAGCAGCACTCTTCATGATAGCAAGAAGCTAGAAACACAGAGAGGACCCATTGATTGGGAAGTGGCTGAACAATGGCAAGTAAATGTAATGGAATATTAACGTACCATTAAAAAATAAAGCGTAATGACTAACGTTGATCGACTTAGCCCTTTTCAGCAATGCAAGGATCTAAGACGTCTCCAAAGGCCTCATGATGGAAAATGCTATCCACAATCCAAAGAAAGAACTATGGAGTTGGAAGGCAGACCGAAGCATACTATTTGCTATTTTTTTTTCTTCTGTTGAGTTTTGTGTCCTCTTTCTGGTGGTTCTTCCTATTGGTTCTAATTCTTACTTACAACATCACTAATGTGAAAATATATTTAATAGGAATGTATATGTATAGCCTATATCAGATTGCTCACTGTCTTGGGGAGGGAGGTGGGGAGGGAGATGGAGAAAAATTTAAAACTCAAAAGCTTATAGAAGTGATTGTTGATAAATCAAAAGAAATTAATAAAAAAAGAAATAAGGCATATGCAGAATTCAGAGAAACATAGAAAGGTATTTTCAAATGACACAGAACCAAGAAAATAATGTATTATACACAACTATAATAATATCAACAAAAACAACACAAAAATGCTGCCAAACTCAGATTAATGGTAATGACCCATTTTGGTTAGTGAGAAAAGAGAAGGAAACCTACCTCCCTCCTCTAACTAGAGAGGTAGAGGACTACGGTCAGGGTACTGGAGTGAGAAAGACTCATCTTCCTGAGTTCAAATCTGGCCTTGTACACTTACTTACTGTATGACCCTGAGCAAGTTACTTAACCCTATTTGCCTTAGTTTCCTCATCTGTGAAATGAGCTGGAAAAGGAAATGACAAACCACTGCAGTATCTTTGCCAAAAAAACTACAAATGGGGTCATTAAGAGTTGGACACAACTGAGAAATGTTATATGGGGTGGGGGGACTTACAAATGTGGAACGAGGCATATATTTTTAGATATGGTTGTCTCATGGTTAGATTTTGCTTAGGTTTTACGTTGTTACAAGAGTCAGTGTTACAAGTAGGGGTGCTAGGTTTGTTGGGAAATGATTCTGGTTTTTAAGTTGTTAATTGAGGGAAAAAAGAAAGTGAGTAGGAGTAGAAAGGGTAGGACTGCCCAGTGACCCATCCTACCTTGTGTTTAGAGCTGTTCCAAGAGCTCCCTAAGTGAACATGGGTATCAATGAGAGAGGTGTTAATTGGGAGTTAAGTGGTGAAAGAAAGAGGCAGTGAATTTACATGAATTTACAAAAGTCCTGGGTTCACATGCCACTTCCATTTCTTAAAAGCTGTGGATCATCGGCAAATCACTTAAATCTCTCAGAGTCTGTTTCTTCCCAAGTAAAAGCTAAGTACCTCCCTCAGGATTTTTGTGAGGATATAATATATGTTAAACATTATGCAAATGCAAGTTATCCTGTCATTATTATTACTAATACTAATAATTATCATTTTAAAAGATGCTCATAAGGAAATGCTAAATAGACTCTTGAGGCCAACCTAAAGAGAGATCAAAAGAAGGATAACTCAAGGCACTTGTTTCCGATGAAAGGAAGAGGACAATTTCTAGGTGCTTGGGACCAGGAGAGTCTTGCCTGGAAACAGGTTAGGGATGGGGCACCTGGGCCTCAGGCAGGAATAGGGACAAGGGCACAAGAAAAAGGTGCCAGATTTCTCAGTGGACCTAGCAAGGTCTGGGGACACTCAATTTTCAGTGGAAGGAGAGGACAATAGAGAGATCCTAAGAACCTACAGGCAACTCGAAGTAATGTAGAGAGGATGCGGGAGAAGGTTTAGATACTGTTTTTTAACTTACCTGATTGAATTTGCTAAATATATAACCCTAACCAGGTCCCTTCCCCTTTCTAAGCCCCAGTTTTCTCCTCTATAAAATAAGGAGACAACACTCCCCCGTTGGATTGTAAGTTCCTCGAGGGCAGGGCTGCTGTCTTTTGTCTCTTTTTGTATCTCCAGCGTTTAGCACATTGTATGGCATACAGTAGGTACTTAATAAATGTTTATTGACTGACTGGGGTCCATCTTTTTTCTTTCTCTTAAAATGGTAACTGATAAGGGTTGTGGAGGTCACCAGAGCCCTGGGTTCAATTCCTAGCACCCCCACTTATCATTTAGGTGACTATGGGCAAACCATTTCACTTCTCTGGCCTCATTTTCCTCTTCCGCCAACACAGGTGAGGAGGTATTAATGTGTTAACAAGGTATCAGTTGACATCCTGTGATCCCTTTATCAAGTGCAGAGAAACCTTTCTGGGACTGACTCCTAAGCTGATCCCAAAAGGACTCCTTCTATTATATGTAAAGTGGGGGCAACCACCCTTGAACCACCTCCCTGTCAGGGCTGTTGAATGAAAATCTATTTGAGAACCCTAAAGTGCCACAGAAACATTCCTTTTCTTTAGGTTAACTGTAGTATTGCTGCTCCCACCAAACCCATATACCATATGTAGTCCATCTCCTGTTTTCCATGCCTTTGGACCGGCTTGGCTCCATACCTGGAATGTTCTGGTCCCTAAATGGTGCCAGAGTACACAGAGCACTGGACCTGGAGTCAGAAAGACCTGAGTTCAAATTTGACCTCATCCCCTTAATAACTGTATTAAGGGCAAGACACAACCTCAGTTTCCTCATTTGTAAAATGGGGATAATAATTTCCCCTACTTCCCAGCATTGTTGTGA